TATAATTTAGTGTGAGCTTGATGCTATTGAAACTGTATGCAAAAATAGGTTGAACGCAAAAAAAAACGACAGATGGCTGAGCCGATGCTTAGAGCGCCAACGTCCTCTCCCCCTAGAGAGCATCGTTTTATGTGAAACTGACCACCAGCCATCAGCAAACTTTCTTTAATCGGTTTAAATCAAAACTTCGAAATAAAGCAAACGAACATTTGAGCATTTTGTTGGGCAGCAGCGTCTGGGCAATGAAAGTACGGCAATGTGGCCCAGTTGCTTGTGGCCAGACCACACTGCTGCTGCTCTGGGGTTAAACCATAACCGTTACTGTTGCTACTGTCGTGGAACTGAGAATGAGGAACTGCGCCGCCAGTTGCTGGTCGTATCGGGAGACCAGCGAGGCCACCTGCATTGCAATGCGGCAGCCACCCGAATGGATGCTAAAACAGACAAGACCTACTACAGAAGCATAGAGCTGAAAAAAACGTTCAAAAATTTCAGTTCATTTCAATCCCTCAAAAATAAGGCTTTATGGTAAAGGTTTACGAAAAACTTCAGGAACATCGCCAATTCAGCCACAATTTCTTAGCCAGCTACACGTCCCCAAAGCCGGCAACCATTGTTCCGAGCCACTTGTCCCTAGTTTTGAATTGCCCTGTTCATCTACGAATACATTTTAAAAAAACACTTCAGAAACATCCAAACGATGAACTTCCGTTTCGCAAGTACCATTCACTGTCACAGTTCACGTAGACAAGTTATCAGCAGCAGAACGAACTAAACTTGCGCTCAGTCGGATTTTACTTTCTCCCGTAAACCTGAGAATACTTTTGTCCGTGCTAATTTAACGGTGTTTTTTTGTCACGAAGAGGTACAACTCGAATAAATCATGCTGCGTACACCATCGTGCGAGCGCCACTCTGTTACCCCTGTTTCATTAATGGACATTTTTTTAAAAAAAGAAATCATGTTCATAGAGGAAACCAAAAAAGTTTTGTCTGGTGAGAACGCAAAATGTGCTTGAAAATAAGAATCGCCTTCATTTTGTAGTGGAACTGTTGAACTTACAGGCATCACGTATCCTGGTTGGTTGTATGCTTGGAGCAAATCCATCTTCATCTTCCACAGCCGCATTCGCGCTGCATTCACTTGCATATGCTTCTCGTAAGCTTGCTGTCTTGAAAGAAGGTAAATTTTAAAATTTCTGCATGAAGGCTTGTTTTTAAACGAATAAAGAGATGGATTTGATAAACTTTTTTTTTTTGTTTTCTAAGCAGGAGATGTTGGGAAGGAACAGGGGAGTGACCATTCCGATCGCCTTAATTCATCGACAAAGAAAGTGAGAAAAGGATGGAAAATTGAATAAGAAGCAACTGAATCAAGCTGAAGTAATTTGGCTGAGGCGAATTAGCCAGACCGATGCAAAACCCTGTCAGAGAAATTTGACAAAAAGAGTATAAATGGGCTGGCACTAAATTCTTTTAAGGCATTAATTTTAAAGGACTAAACTGAACCAGAAACACTGCCACATTTAAGTAAATGTGGCGCAGTTAGAAGCAGCTTTGTTTTGGATAGGAAATGTCAAGACTGGGATAAGACCTCCCTTTGTAAAAGTCGTAGGTACCCATTGTAATTTCGTGAACAGACTAAAATTTTAAATGAAACGAATATCGTTGATCAGCTCATTCAAAGTGGGACTTTTCTTTTGGTAATGTTTCGCCAAAACGTCGGAAATGAAGCAAAAAGACGGTCTGGTC